GGAGCCGGCAATCATTAACCGGCCCACCGAGCTGATGGTGCCAGGGGCAGGCGGTGGGGCAGGGTGGAGTCCAGGCACCACAGAGCTACTGGAAAATATCACAGCCCCTGCTTGGGAAGGGCTGGAAGAGGATTTTGTTATGTGCCCTGTGTGCCCTGTCTTCCAGCTGTCCAGCTGTCTGCCCCCCCAGGAGCCCCATCTGTCTGTCTATCCATCCATCTCTATGCACGTCTGTCTGTCCACCCCTTACCTCATCTTCCCGTCCCCCAACATACTCATACTCATCCTCCCCTCCCTTCCCAGATACCCCATCCATCCATCCTATCCTATCTTCTATCCATCATAGACCCCATCTGTCTGTCTATCCATCCATCTCCACGCACAGCCATCTGTCCACCCCTTTCCCCACCTCATCCACCCAATCCCGACCTTCGTCCCTTCCCAAACACCCCATCTGTCTGTCTATCCTGTGCTAGCCTCCATCCATCAGAGAACCCCCCATCTGTCTGTCTATGGCTACGTCTAGACTGGCATGATTTTCCGCAAATGCTTTTAATGGAAAAGTTTTTCTGTTAAAAGCATTTGCAGAAAAGAACGTCTAGATCGCTTTTCCACAAAAGCAATTTTGCGGAAAAGCATCCGTGCCAATCTAGACGTGGTTTTGCGCAAGAAAGCCCCGATCGCCATTTTCACCATCAGGGCTTTTTTGCGCAAAACAATACCGCGTTGTCTACACTGGCCCTCTTGTGCAAAAGCATTTGTGCAAGAGGGCTTTTGCCCGAACGGGAGCAGCACAGCATTTCCGCAAGAACACTGACAATCTTACATGAGATCGTCAGTGTTCTTGTGGAAATTCAAGTGGCCAGTGTAGACAGCTGGCAAGTTTTTCCACAAAAGCAGCTGCTTTTGCAGAAAAATTTGCCAGTCTAGACACAGTCTATCTGTGCATCTCAATGAGCTTCTGTCTATCAACCCTTTCCCTCCATACCTCATCCACTATTCCCCGACATCCTCATCCCTTCCCTCCCAGACATCCCATCCTTTCATCCCTCCGTCTGTCTGTCTGTCTAACTGCCCCTTCTCTTCTTCCACACCCTCTCTAACCCCCCAGTACCTCCCCAGTTACATATCCCCGTGGTACCGCCCAGCCCTTCCCATGCCTGTGAGCTCTGTTCAGCCATTCTGCATGATGGCCCTGACCCGGGGGAACCCTCCCGCCCCAGTGCCAATGTTCCCTCTAGTCTTTTCCATGTTGTTCTGTGCACCGAGGCCTGTGCGGATGGGCACCCGCAGGAGAAACACAAACCGAGCTGTGGGTGCTCTGCTAAGCAGCCGGGTGACTCTGCGGAGCGGCTGCTTATGGGACACTGTGCCCCCCCAGGGCCTGCAGGACAGAGGCAAAGAGCCCGGCTGTGGGTCCCAGGGGCTGCCAAGAGGTGAGGGTGTCTCATGCAAAGGGCCATGCAAATCCTGAGCGCATGCAAAAGAGCAGGCGAGGGTGGGACACACCAGAGGGGACTGATTTCCTTGTGTAGAAGGAACAAACGAAGCAAAGAAACAAAGCACGGTGCTAACCAGCCATAGCTTCTGTTGCCTCCCGGGATGCTAGCCCTGGGACCCAGTTTCCCCATTGCATTCTGGGAACATCCCAAGGCACTAACCCCCCTTCCGGTGTGCCCCATTGCATTCTGGGAAGCTCCCAAGGCATGAATCCCCTTACCTTTCTTCCCATTGCATTCTGGGAAGGCTAGTCCCAGGGTAGAGTTGTCAACTTTCTAATGGCACAAAAACCAAACACCTTTGTCCTTTCTCCTTCCCTGAGGCCCTGCCCCCTCCCTCCCTCCTCCCTGGGGTAGGAGATTGGGGTTTGGGGCAGCATGAGGGGTTTGGCTGGGGTTGCAGGCTCTGGACTGGGGCTGGGGAGTTTGGGGGCACACGAGGGGCTCTGGGCTGGGCTAAGGGTTCAGGGGAAATCAGGGGGCTGAAGAGTTTAGGATGTGGGAGGGGCTCAGGGCTGGGACTGAGGGGTTCAGGGGTTTGATGTGGTGGTGTTGGGTGCTGGCTCTGAGGTGGTGCTGGGGGCGAGGACCCAGGAGTCCAAGCTCCCAAGCTCCCTGCTCTAACCACTAGCCCCACATCCCTCCAGAGCTGGGGATAGAACCCAGGAGTCCTGGCGCCTAGATCTGACCACTATTTGACAGCCTCTCTCTCGAGCAGTGGAGAGAACCCAGGAGTCCTGGCTCCCAGCCCCTCTCTAACCCTCCCCCTTCTCCCTAGGCCTGGGAATAGGACCCAGAGCTCCCATGGCCAGTCCAATGTAAAGGCGCCTGGAGCAGAAGCTGATCTCAGGTCTGTGTCTCCGCTTTCATTTCTATTATATTGAGATTTCTTAGCCTCTTGTTCTGCCCCAGAGATAAGGCAGCCTGGGCATCTCCAGTGTGTTGTGTCTACGCAGCGTCACAGCCAGGGAGAAAGCTCCTCCAAACAGAGGGCAGCGAATGAGCCCCAAAAAGCAGCTGGGGTCGAGCTGGTGGGAACACGTCGACGCTGGCCGATAGACGGGGAGAACATGCAGATTTGTTGGAACTGAAACATTTGCCAGAAATGTTTCCGGGTTGACACAACTGTTGTCTGGAAGGTGTCCCAGGGCCAAGATGGAACGTCTGGTGAACCTAGACACCCCCTCCCCCAGCGCCACACACCCGAATAGCTGAAAGTCCAGCGCTGAGTCCTTTCACCTGGCCTGGAGGAGAGCCAAGTATTCGTATTTGGTCCCTGCAGAGTCAGGAGCTGCCAGGAACCGGACCTGTCAGGCTGGCTGCTGTACAGACCTTGGCAGACATCAGGGCCCTGCTGTGCCAGGCACTGCCCAGACCCCACTGACTGAATCAGGAAGAGCCGGAACTTAAATGTGGCTTGTGCACATCCCAGCAGATTGTCCTGACATGTGGGCTCCTGGCTAGACCAGCATCGGGAAAGTGTGAGCACGTGAGTGTGTGATTGCGTGCCTGTATATGCACGAGTGTGTGCATGTGTGTGCACAAGTGTGTGCCCGTGTGTGTGCACACACAAGGATATGTTTGTGTGTCCGTGCACGAATGTGTGTGAGATTTCTCTCCAGAGCAGACAGCACCTCTTGCAAAGCAGAACCCTACTTTCTGGCCAGCGATGACCCTCGCTCCGCCCACTGCAGCTCCTCATCACTCCTGTCAGCTTTGCCCGTGCAAACCCCTCCAGCCGCAGACTGAGGCTTGAGGCCCCTACGGGCTTTGGCTTTTCCAGGAGGGTGGGATCAAACTGAGCACATGGGCCCGAGGGGGCACCAGGCACTGAGATCTGCCCAGCACTGGTGATGAGAGCCGTCTCGTGGGGACTCTGCCCTTTGCGCTTTGGGGGAAAGCCTGGGTGTGAAGTTGCCAGCTGCGGTTTGGGTTCAAGTCATTGGATCGGGTTTGGAACAGCCCCTGGTTCTGCCCCAAGCCCCGTGCACGAGCCCTTTCCTCCATCTCACCGGGCCTGGGTCCTCGCACTGGCAGGAGCTAATACAAAAATGGTGATGAGCCAAAATTCCACCATGGGACACCAAATTCCTGCTTTCAGAGGGAAATTCACTCTCTGGGTGAGTTTCCCAGCTGAGGGCTGAACCTCAGTCCCACAGCAGAAGGTCCCATGGGCTTGACAAGCTTTCAGGGTGATGAGGGAAACTGAGTCATGGAGCACGGACGTGACCTGCCCAAGTTACCCCACAATCAGTAGAAGAGCAGACCCCATGTGTCCCCCATCCCAGTTTAAGTGACACCATGGAGCCAGAGCTCGCCCTGGGCATTCTGGTCTAGTTTTTTGACTTGTTGCTGCAAGCCTGCCAGCAATGGCTGGAGGCTGCCTGGCACCATCTGGTGCACGTCACCCCCTGCCCCTCCCCCTGGCCTCCCTGGGGATCTTGGAGGAGCCGCAGCAGCACCCGGACGCCAGCGTGCCCCGCCGCATCTCGCGTCTGGACACCAGCAGCGACTGGTGGGACCGCATCGTCCTGGAG